GTCTGAGGCATTAAATGTTTGAGAATTTTTTTCTTTTGCCATTGAAAGGCCCATCCTAGTGAGTAGTTAAGATCTCAAAATCTGATTCATAGCAATCAATTTCTTTGAGATATAGCAATTTAGATATTGGTATGTAAAATGGCTTATTCGGTTACTAAAAATCCTCAAAAACAATGGCGTCACACACCCTGGGCGTGGCCACCACTACCAATCTAGATTTGGATTCTTATAGAACTATGTATAAGCTTTCATTAAAAGTAAGTTTGGCTCTCATATTTTGAATTTGAAAATCTGTCAAATTTTCATGTCTCATGTGGAATGGCCCTTTTGTAAAATGACGATTTTCTTTAGGTGACTATTCGCGGCTTGGCCCCAAGCAACGAGACCATAGGAAATATACGGTTCAATGAGCGAGCAGTAAATGTTTATAAGAGTAGTGAGCGGTACCAAGTGTCTTAGTCTTGCAACAATACCGATACCTTTGCTTATTTTCGTGGAAATGTAGTTATTACATTCAAGAGATACCAATTGCTCTGAGTTATTATCAAGTATTTTAAGGTTTACTTCTCGGTATAGTTTGTGTTGATAAGCATGAAAAATAACGAAATTAGATTTAGATGTGTTAAGAGATAATTTATTTGAATTCAGCCATTCACACAACTTTAATAACTCTTCATTGACGACAACTTCAAGTTTGTCTAGATCTTTTTCTGCATATAGTAAATTGGTATCATCAGCAAATAGGTAAAAGTCAAACTTTTTAGAGGAACAATGCATGTCACTAAAAAAAACAACATGCAAATTCTCTCTACTGTTTTCTATAGATTTCCTAGGGAGCTAACAAGGAGAATTTGGTTAAAAATTAAGACTACCCCAAATCAATCTGTGATCATTTCTTTTATTCTTGTAACCTTAACAATTGTTTCAGGGGTGATATAGTTAGGACATATAAGATACCCGTTACTCTTAGGGGCTAAAGGATTAGACCAACACTTACTGCAGCAGAAGGATTGCTTTCCTCTGTGGTGATAGGACTTGCTGTTTGTCTTGTTCGACTCATAATTTGTTCTACCCGCTGAAAAAGAGGAAACACATTTAAGCTTCACTTATGCATAAGAATCACATCAGTTGTAGTCCAAATCAATCATCAAGAACCATGAATGACCCAAAAGAACACATTTCTATCACTTACAGCACTTGATGTCATATTAATGGCCATATTGCCTTGAGTGACTTTTATCAAAAATCACAATTGAAAAAAAAAAAAAAAAGCAAGGCCACAAAAAGCTGCAAGGCTCTGTGCACTGTCCTGCAAGATGAATACATGGTACTGACACGACAAATAGACCTACTGCCACAGGTCATGACCTCAAGACAACATGTGCCTTTCTAGCCTTCCCACTGAGTCAATGATTACATATTGTACTGTAAAGCAATTAAAAGATGTGCAGAGTTATTTAAAAAGAAAGATGTTAATAACTCATATGGCACAAATAAAGCATTTGTTAGTAAAAAAAAGCATTTAAATGTGAGCTTAAAACTTTTGTCTGGTATGTTTGTGGGAAACAGAATCAGTTGATTATTTTCAGGCATAGTCAATACACTAACTTAGTACCACTGTTAGACAAGCCAAACATTCTAACATCATGACCACACTACTATGAAGTACTATCATTGTACAACTTCATAACAGCAATTGCAAATGGAACAGTCCATGTAATGAACTTGTAAAAAATGATGCTTATGCAGACTGACATGTCAATCTCATTTATTCTTGGAAACAAAGATCACAGTGTACAGAACATGTGGAAGCAATTCTATTCTCTCAATTTACTGAATTACTCACATGTTTTGATTTTTAATGCATGGCTACATGTATGGTCACCTCTTACCCTTTTTCTCTCCAGTCTTGCAGCCTCTTCCTTTTTTCGTCTCTCTTCTTCTTCTTGAGCTTTTCTTTCTTCCTCTTCTTTTGCTTTCTGTTCCTCTTCTTCTTTACGTTTCTTTTCAACAGCAGCTCTCTCTGCTTCTTCTTGATCATGCTTCTCTTTCTCCTCTGCTGCTATTCTCAATCTCTCTTCTTCCTGCTTGCGCAAAAGCTCAGCTAGTTCACGCATCCTTGCTTCTTCTTTGGCTTCTTCCTCTGCTCTCTTCCTGTCCTCTTCTTCTTTTCTCAACCTTTCAGCTTCCTGTCGCTCTTTATCCAGTGCAGCCTGTCTCTCTGCTTCTTCTCTTGCCTTCTTTCTCCTCTCTGCTAATGCTTGTTTGGCAGTTGCTTCATCTGTGACGCCAGCTTTAGGCTTTGTTTCAGTCTTCTGGTTTTTCTCCGAAGTGCTTTTATGTGCACCAACTCTGTGAATAGAACTGGTAGAGTGAGATTTGGTGAGCTTTCCTCCTGGCAACAAGAGTGATTCTTGACTTTTATTATTGTTTTTAGTATTCTGCTTATCCAATGTCAAGGCTGGAGCATGCGATGATGTTGACCGTGTCCTGGGCTTGGTGCCAGATGATGGCCTTTGAGGTAAAGAACTACCACTACCCCTGCGATTTGCTACAGATGCATTGTTCAAATTACTTGCTGACACAGACTTGCTAACCCCTAGAGACTTTTTCGGTTGCAAGCCACTGGGGGTAGTAGTAGGAGATTCTTTCGGTGTTGAACCACCAGATAAGCTGTCAGCACTAGTACTACTATGAGAAGGACTTTTAGCAGAAGAAGCACTTGAAGGTCTCGCCAATGGCTTCGGTAAAGAAGATGGGCGCTCTACAGCACTGCCTGGTCGCTTGGCACCAACTTCTTGAGGTAGAGTTGGCAGTTTTCTACCAGTGCCTGGTTTTAAGGGTGCTGAATTAGTCTTTTGTTTGGCTGCTTGGTCCTTCATTGTACTCCATCTTTCTTTCTCATCCTCCTCCTTTTTACGCCTTCTTTCTTCGAACGCCGCTCTACGTTCCTCATTTTTTCTCCGCCTCTCCTCGGCCTGTTTTTCTCGGAGAAGCTTGACCTTTTCTTGTCTTTCATCCAGTGGAGGAGGATCTCTACCCACCTGTACACTTAAATTTTCACTGGATACATATCGCTTCGCTGAGTTTGTTCTGCTTGCACTACTTGGCCTTGATAGCGCCGATGTTGAGTTTGAAATTGAGGGATTTGATGAGTTCGCAGTGGCTTTGCGTGAATGCCTGTCTGTTGATTTAGTGGCAGATCCCGGCGACCCGGCTGCTAAATAGAAATTAACAGTACATCATATTAATCCTTGCAAAGAGCATCTTTAAGATCTACCGAAAATACAAGAATTCTGTACCTTTCTTCGCTCGAAATGCCTCGGTGGACAACGCATCTTGATTTGATTCAGCCATTGAGGTTACTACGTTTGCGAGGTGTGCCGTTCCAATACAAATTCCTTGAGAGTTACTGGTGCCTTCAGTAACAACTGATTGGTAAATAATTGATAGGAAAACAAAGTTGATCGAGTGCTTATCAGCCAGACGCTACGTCTTCTCACTCGAATCCATGTGTTCTAAGCTCTCTAAAAACAAAATCGAATATATTGAAAGATTACTTTGTGTTTTTTACGTAATATTTTAGACCTCGGTCCTTACAAACCAATCACAGCGAATGATTTCAGACACGTGGCTTTTTTTGGTACCGCTGAAAGTTCTTTCTGTCGGCTCGTAATCATCGACGCCATTTTGTTGGTTGTCAACTTGGTTGTCTACATGTGGAGACTCTTTGAACGAGTTATGAAAGGTTGATTTCGTCAAACTTGACATCTAAGATAGAAAATTATGGAGAATCTCTTAGAGCAGCAAAGGAGACTTCACGAAGAAAGGGAAAGATTGGAGAATGCAATGGCAGATGAAGTACTGCACAAGAAACAATTGGTAAAAACTCTCACTACAATGTACTTGTTTACCGTAACTGTGCTGTTACATATCTTTACAGTTTAAAATGTTTTTTTCTTTGTAATGCAAGAATATCAAGGGGTGTTGGGGAAATTATTAGCAAGCAAAGAAATAGCCCTGAGTGTAAACATTTTACGTAGCCACACAGACTGTGCATCCGCACGAACCAATACAATCGATGGAAGTGCATTACTATGGTAGATCTAGAAAGAGTTGCCTGTTACCTCCTTAATATACTGCTTACAAAGGGTTCAAAATTACCTGTGAACCCAATTTCCTTTAGTGCTTGTAATCTATTTAATTCCTGTAGAGAGACAAATAAAGAATTACAGTAAACTGGTTAATGAGTGAGCTACACACCATACATTTTCTTATCCTTATTCTTAGAATTTATATTTTGTATATACAGTGTATATGTCCTGCTACAATATACTTCTAACACAGAGTTCCAAATTACCACAATGTTCAGTTGTCCAGCAGAGCTTGTAATTGATATGATCTCTTCAGAGATGCAAACAAGGAATTACAATTAACTGTTCAATGAGTGAGCCAGCATTAGTCCTAGAGTTTGTATTTTGCATGTATCCTGAGAGGAGAATTGATCAAAAATAAAACAAAATAATTTTAACACACTGATCTTTGAGTTTGTACAGACCCTAAAATTATATGATGTATTTATCTTTACAGGGAAAAGAACAGATTAATTCTGATCATCAAGTAAAGATTTTATTGGAGGTAAATGAGAGTTTTCCTACAGTGTAAGAGCTGACCTTAATAGATCATGGCTTAGCCATGTTTATTACATGCAGGCACATAGGGTTTCCTTTACGTTTTGCAGTAGGTGATTTAAAAGAAATGATCTTTAGTTTGTTCTTGTTTGCAATATGGTTTGATGATCAAATTGGCCAAAAACCTTTTAAGATAGTGAGAGAAGCAAGTTGGCTGCCAACTTCTTTACATAACCCTCTGTATACATGTACACTACTGACTGTATAAACTTAGCTGGGATGTGGGAAGAGTTAATTTCACTGTACTGGAGAGCTTTGACTCTTTGGACATCAATTATCTGGATTTTTCAATGATGTGGACTCTCTTGTCTGGTCCCATTTTTTCAGGAACATTAACTTGTCACATTTGAGATGTGTAGCAACATTTTCCCATCAAACAAATCAGATGTACTGAAACAATTTGATGATATTATTTTAATGCAGTTTCAAAGTATGATAGAATTAGCAATGCACATCATTCAAGTCAGCATTTTAGGTTGTAAAACATTGTTATTGTGAAAGCATTTATGTAAATATGTTGGAAGATTTTGGCAACAATGTACATTCATTTGAGAATGTCCTGTAATTCTTGCATAATATTGGTTAAATGATACATATTCAGTTTTATTTTTGGCTCATTATGAAAACTGTTCAGCCTAGTCCTCACGAGTCCTGATAATTGAGGTTTACCTGTACATGTTTAAGTGGCCCTTAACCCTGCGCAGTGTGCATTTACACTGTATGTGGATAAATTTTGGCAGAGAAAACTCTTTCCACCTACCCTCCCTTGTTCAATGGTTAGATGATTCTTTCATCCAGTTAATAAATATTGCTATCCAGCAGCTAAGCTTTGCAAAACTGGCTTGTTACATGATACAGGAATACATTTGACTTTTGGTGATCAAAGAGAGGAAAACTATTTTTCCAAATTCACATTGTGTGGGATAAGTTAAGGTACATGTAGCGTGGTGCAGTTTGAAAACACAAAGCACATGTACATGTGATTTTGTAATTATGTTGCATGAGGATTATCCAGCCTTTTAGATATTTAGTTGTATTTTTTAGCAGATACATGTAGTAATTTATATCGTTATTGTGTCCAACATTTCCTTAAATCTCTTTTACAATTTTGCAGCTTACCTGCAAATATAACTTCTTCAGTGTTTTAATGCTCTCCCTGATTTTCTTTCTTTCTTTTCTTTTTCTTTTTTTTTTTTTTTCATGTATAAAGAGATCAGCATTAAATGCCGAGACACTTTCAAGCCTCTATGAGGATAAGGATGGGTGAGTAAATTCCACAGTAGAATGGCATTGTCCAAATCAGTGATATATTTGTCCAGGAGATACCTACTAAATTGAACTTGAGCCACCTTTGATTTACAGTTTACGCAAAGAGGAAGTTTCAGCTTTGTCAGGACCTAATGAGTTTGCAGAGTTTTATGCCCGTCTCAGGAGTCTGAAGGAATATCACAGAAAATTCCCTAATGAGGTAAACTGTTATTAATAACTTTTCCTTGAATTGTATGTGGAGTAAATTCTTGAAACCAGTGACTCCTGAAAAAAAAAACTGCTTGTAATAATCAGAATAATTCAAGTTTATTTATAGTGCTATTTACATAGAAATGATGTACCAGTGCTTTACAATGATTCACCTTTAAAACTATTCTACAACAATCTAAGTATACCAAAAACGGTAAAGTTTAAAAAAGACTTGCAATAAAAAAGAACAAATCAGATTAAATGATATTCATAAAAAATCAAATCAAATAAAATTTCTGGTCTAAATTACACCATTTACTCTAGACTTTCCTGTGATTCTAAAAATGTGATTTACCTGGCTTCTTGCAAGAAATGTCGCCTGCAATATGTGGGATCTACTACTACCGACTTTACAGTTAGATTTCGAAATCACAAATCTGCTATGCTCGCAAACAAAACAACTTGTGAAGTAGCGATATACTTTAACAAAACCCTACACACCCCGGATGATTTTTTTGTTCCAGTGCATTGATCAGGTACAGGCCCCTAGAGGCTCTGTAGAGATTGATAGGCTTTTAACCACAAAAGATGCTTATTGGAGTGCTCCGTTGTTCTCTTTGGCACCCCATGGTTTGAATAAAAGAAAGGAATTTCATTCAAAAAATAGAATTTGCTATAATTAATTTTCCATCTTATATTAGGCGCTACTAATTGATCATTCAAAGGCTCTTTTCTTGGATTTTGTCGGCCCCGTAAGTGTAGATTAGAATCGAAGGCCCAACCAAGGGATCTTATTATGATTATAGTATCATTTAAGGGCCCCTCCAGGGATTTTGTTGTTAATTTGCCCTTTCGGGCTCCAAAGGCCTTGTTTTGGGATTTTGTTATGGTTTACAGTTGTAGTTAAAATTGGGCCTCCCCTTTTTTAATGCTTGCTGCATTGCTTCTTTGCAATCAGTTACACCACTCATTCTAACATATTTAGTATTCTTGTCTCTTAGTTTTTAGGGTTTGTTTCTTGTATTTTGTCCATTGCTTTCTTTGTAATTAGGTTTTTTGTTATCTTTTTATGAGCACCAGTTCATTAGTCATGATCTATAATTACGTAATCATTAGCACTTCGATCTTATTTAAAATGCTCTTTTTTTATTTCAAAAGTTGTAAATAACGGAAGAAGGTCTCTGACCGAGATGTTTTCTTTTTTAAAATTTTTTACATTTTTGACATCAGAAGTTGTCCATCCTTGCAATTTTTAAACTTTCTACGTTCGTGTTTGCTGTGAGGTTTGGACTGTGAATTTTTATTGATTCTCCTGCTGCGGTGCACCTTTGTTGGCCTGAGAGTTTCACTAAGGACTTGCCATATATATATACATGTGCATATACATTTATATACAGTATACAATATCATCAAAATTCTTTTTTTTTCCAGGTTGCAGAACCGATGCAGATGGAATTTGTGAAGCTCAAGGAGGCACGTGATAATCCATCTGATGAAATGCAAAGTGAGTGTTTCAGTGTGGCTTGTGTTCTGCTAATTTAGAATTGAAAATTTTAATCTTAACTGAAACATAGATCTTAATTATCTAACTAGAGTAGTCAGCTATGACCAAAGCTGTTTTATTACAATAATGTTAATCTTGGTTCTTTTTATTACTCTTTTATTCAAATCCAGATGTAGTAGAGTTTACAGATGAAGAAGGATATGGGAAATACTTGGACCTGCATGAACTTTATGACAAGTTTCTAAACTTGAGAGGAGTAGAGGTGGGCTTGTGACTAAAGTAGTGAGCATAGGGACTGTTACATACAGCCATACATATCCTTTTTGATATTCTTTTTAACACATTTATGTTATGTCCACATCTCTTGGAACATTTTAATGTTTCCCTTTTGGCATTTTACAGCGCATTGACTACCTAGGCTACCTAGAAACATTTGACAGACTGTTCGACATTGCAAAAGAAAAGAAAAACCCAGAGTACAGAAGGTTAGTTAACTGTGAATCTGTGATCTATAAATTTGTCTCAGGAACTGCTTCCCAACCTATGAAAATCATCCTCATTAGATTATAATTTTAGTTTTTGAGTTTGCCTCTACCACAAGCGTACCCATGACTTCTTAACAAAGTCAAAACTACTAATGGTTTATGACTCAAAAACATGGGATTACAATGAAAGCTTGAGTAATAAGAATGTGCTGAATTTAAATTGAGAAGTAGTTTCCTGTACATACTGTAATTATAAATATTTATTACAGAAAGCTTCAGGGTAGTGAACAATGAATATAATTGTTGTTGATGCAAATTACAATGATGGTAGATATGACGGTGGTTCTATTAAGGCAATTTCTGTACTTTCCTTGAAGTTATTTTGTGATTATAACTTAGATGTATGATGTTTGGTCTCTTAGGTATATTGAAGCTCTCCTGGACTATCTGTATGACTATACACAAAGGGTGTTACCTCTCTATGACCTGGAAGGGGTATGTTCTTAGTCAGTCGTCTTTTTGTGGAAGGTTGATAATTAATCAAAGCAAATAATACAAATTACAATGATGGTAGTTGGTAGCTAACCGCCTCCCGGTTAGCTCAATGGATAGAGGGCTGGACTGTTGTGTGGGAGGTCGAGGGTTCGAGCCCCGGCCGGACCAATGCTCAGGGTCTTAAAATAATTGAGAAGAATTTGCTACCTTTCTATAACATCAAGAAATGGTTAGATATTCTAATCTTCTCGGATAGGGACGAATAAATGGAGGTCCCGTCTCCTGCAGGGTTGGGGTAGGAGATGTTAATTTCCCACACACGAGATTACTGTGTGATGGATGTCCTCCCCTGGGGTGGGATGGGTGGGAGGGTGGACTAGCACAAATGGTTCCTCTCTTCCTTTCTAGTCCTTCCCCACTGCAAAACTTAATGCAGTGAAAATAGATTAAATTAAACTAAATTAAATTAAATTAAATTAAATACCTTTGTGAGTTGATGTTTGTTCGAAAAGAGTCCTATAATGTGATTTAGCCAAGTGCAATCCCAATGAAAGAATCTTGGAGAGTGAATATTATGCTTGGCAAATTGCATGCAGTGCTTGTGATATGATCTTTGTGCATGAAAATGTGTTGGAGGCTATCCACTACCCAAGGGTTTTTTTTTTTTTTGGAGGGGAAGGGGTGGGAGGTGGGTTGGCCAAAGCATCCTACTTGGCTGTTATAGCTATTTTTTTTCATTCTTCTCTGATCTTTAAATTCGTCTGGTAATTCACATTTTTTATCTTCTCTAGGAACTTGAAAAAGTTATGTCTGCATTTGAAGAACAGTGGTCAAAGGGTACCTTTCCAGGATGGATGGTAAAAATGGACTTAATACACAAGTTTTTTTTATTTCCTAGCTTGGGTTTCATTGAACATAATTATTCATGTTTAAGCAAGGCTTCTCTTGTCTAACAACTCACCCCATTTACCAGGAACACTCAACATTTAGCCAAAACTGACCCCTTTGTAAAATTCCTTTCTTTAGATATCTTAGTACATACTGTACTTGGGATTACACTGATACACAGCCAGGTGATTGTTGTGAATGGTGAATTTTGTTTTCATTTACAGAAAGATGCTAGCAGTGCCTTAGCTCATTCTGGGGCTCACCTTGACCTGTCTGCATTTTCCTCTCCAGAGGTATAGTTATCAAAGTTGAAAACAAAACTGAGTAACAACTCTTTAAGGAAAAATGTCTAGGGGAAGGGATTAAGAAACTATTCAGAGTCCCTAGGAAGGGAACAGGTCTGATAAAGTTGCAAGGAATTGCACATGTGGAAATTTTAGGAATTGTCAGACTATGGAAAGCATGATAGAAAAGTCTTATTACTGTTACGGCTTTAGCTACATTTACTTATCAAAATTTATTTATATCAACTCAAAAAAGGAACTGGCTTCCTTGGGATTGGATCGACTGAAGCAAGCTCTGCAAGCTCTTGGCTTGAAATGTGGAGGGTGAGTATTGTTATGTATACATGCAGTAACTGGTAACAACATGTTGTATTTGATGCCATTAGCAGGGAAGAGTAGTCTAGCTCTTTTTTGCTTGTGCTATTGGTATAGAAAACTCATGTTACCTAACTGACCACTGGTAATGATATACAAAACTTTAATGAACTGCCCCTGGTTACCTTCACAGCCTTGGGCAAGAGTTTGGTAACATGTATGATATTATGATTTGAATTCTGTTTGGCTCCTTGTGATGCAATTTAAAATTTAAAAAAAAAATTGTTTTTAATTGTTATTATTGTTTTGTTTGTGTGTTTGTTTTTAATTTGCTGCAGGACACTTGAAGATAGAGCACAAAGACTGTTTAGCACAAAAGGTAAGTTTTATAAGAATTTCTCTTTACAGACATCTACTGGTTATTTTCTTTCATGAAATGACACTTTCTTGTAGTAATTTTAATGTATGCTGCAGTATTCATAACCTTATTCTTTGACCTTCCAACACTGTTATTCTGCAACAGCAAGCTGAACTCAACTGAGTTTATTTGAAATGGACTCAACATACATGTTTATTATTATTTTTATTTTTTAATATCAGGAGTACCACTAGACCAGCTAGATCCATCATTTTTTGCTAAATCAAGAGCTGGCAAGGGGCGAGATAACGCACAGAAACAAAAAGACATTGCAGCTGTCGAGGCCCAGATTTACCACCTAACAGAGCTTCTTGGAGTGAGTGTGAAAATGATCGTTTCTTGAACGTAACTAGAATATTACCACTGGGGTTACATTTTAGAGGCCAAGCGGCCTATAACTGTAACTAAAATTAATAGTTGTATGCCCTCTCATGGATAAGATTTAAGTTCATGACGGGTACATGTAACTCCCAGAGGGAGACGCGGTGGCCTGGGGTGAGAGGTCCAGGCTTCAGATCAGGACAGGTGGGATGTGATGTGTTCTTGGGCAAAACACTTTTCTCTCACGGTGCCTCTCTACGCACAGGAGTATAATTGGGCACCGGCAAATTGAAAGTGGATCCTGATAAAACGCAAGGGGGGTAACTTCGCGATGAACTGGTATCCCATCTGGGAGGGGGGGGGTAGTGATACTCTTAGTCGCTTCTTGTCACAGAAACCGGGGATAAGCTCTGGCTGGGTGGACCAATGCAGTACTTATTACAAGTAACTTCGAACGCTTTGTCAGGTTTCCTTGACAGTCTGCCGGTTGTAAAAATGAAGTTTCCTACACAAGAACTCAACAAAATAACCCAATAAGGGCTTGAACGCGGACATGTCGATTCAGAAATCACGTTGTCCCTCGTGTCCACTGCTATACTTCTTTGTGTGGCTTACCAAAGAACACGGATATTTTTGGATTGTTCGATTTCTTGGCCAGTTTCCTCCTATTAAACCGGCATATTTTCAACCCAAGGGTATTTCGACTTCACCCACGAGGTTTTTAACTATGATATACTCGTTTGAATAGCAGTACACCTCGGGCCGATGGTACAGAAAGTGGTTTTTGTAAATTGAGAATTAAAAAATAAAAACATTGATACATACGCTAGCATAACTGATATTTTTCACAACAGGAACAGAGACAAGCCACAAGGGAGAATGTTGAGAGAAAGCAAGCACGCACATCTGATGAGTTGGAGGTAAAGATCAGCGCTAGAAATAATTAATTTTCCTTTATATTCTCGTATAATCCTGCCATTTAAGGTTGTTCTTCTTTTAACTCGCTTAAGCCACCTTAATCGGTAAAATCTTGGGCTATTTTCATTCTGAGTGTCGTTAAAACCCAAACCGAAGTGATCCCACCTTCAACAACCAGACAAAGCAGAATGTCGCATAGAGCCAATGAGAACTAAAAAAAAAAACAAACAAGGAAACTCATCGAAGCGCGGGAAAACGTAAGTGACCAATCACCTATGGTTTTCGTTGCGCATCTGATTGGTTCAGTCGGCGGTGAAAGTTTTCTGGACCAATCACAAAGTGAAGTAAAACAAAACCAAAGCAATCCCGGGTTTCTTTCGACATTTAATCGAAAATTGCCCTGAAATAAGCTCACTCAACTCGTCGGGTCATGACCTTGAAACATAAGCTGTTCTGTGGGTTTGGTGATTTATGGCAACGACGAGTCGAGACCGCTATACGATTGAGTTTTGTAAAACCAGTCCGAAATAGCTATGACAATTGCCAATAATAGCAAAGCATTTGACTAAACTTTGAAGTAAAACGTGGCTCATTAAGTCATTTAGATCTGATTGTTTGACAGGGTTGAGACCATTTCAAAGACCAATCGTTATGTGCAGTAAAGAAAAACAGGCATAATTCTGGCTTACATTCGACTTAGTTTAAAAGTGCTTCGCAAATTTACAGCATCTTAAATGTTTTCCGACAGGAAGAAGAAGAACACGAAGAGGGCCACGAGTCAGATTCTGATGACGAAGAAACTGTTCTTTATAATCCAAAAAATTTACCTCTAGGATGGGATGGAAAGGTACTTTTTTTGCTTAACTCCTGCTTCTTTGAGACTATTCCACAGACGCACTGACGCTAGTGTTATCATTGTGTTTCTTTTCCAGCCTATTCCATATTGGCTCTATAAGTTACACGGGCTGAATATAAGCTACAGTTGTGAGATATGCGGCAACTTCACCTACAGGTTTGAGCGACATACAATACTTGAAACTCAACGGAATTTGATTTTTGATTGTATACGATGGAGTTTTCCACTGAATGTTTTTCTTAATATTCTATACAATGTATCCTACCGAGTTCAAAGGAGTGAAATAGATGTTTTCCGCAACAAAAGTGCACAAGTGGTTCAAGTTGAACAAAGTTTGTCGGCAGTTATCAAAAGTTTAATGTATTTTTCTCATGCATCACTTGCCAATATTGGAATAAAAATTGTCATTTTCTCAGTTAGAATTTAGAAATCAGTCGTTATAGATGTTGTATTTTTAAGGTTACTAAATAAATGTAACCATTGTTCGTTGCAGGGGCCCAAAGGCGTTCCAGAGGCATTTCGCGGTATGATGAATCTCTTTCAGCGTTACTACAAGCTTTATATTTGCACTCAAACTCTGTATATTTCACAGTCTTACAGTATTTTTAAATTTTATTATGTTGGTGTCATCGTTTGCATCAAGTTAAGTCGCAAGAAAGGTCGAGGCGCATTTGTCGTTGAAAACTAAGACCAAATTAATCAGCCAATCAAAATACAAAGGCAAAGTCATGTTGAGCCTAGGAGATTTCACAATGAAAACAAGCAACCTGCGTGAAGCATGCAGTGGGAATAAGGCGAGTGGGCAAATGACGATTGTTTTTAGAAACATCTGATTGTTTGAGGGTATGGCGCGAGTTTCCTCGACCAATTGGAGAGACGATGGGGGAAAACCAGTACAATGCTTGACAGTGGCGGATTTAGGGGAGGGGCCCGCCCCCTCCCCTTATTTTGGTTTAAAAAAGTAAACGCAGAAGGAAGAAAACAACAACAACAACAACAACAACAACTATTTATTGGTTTACAACAATTACAATTTGAGAAATGCCTACCCACAATTAATTAAAAACTAGTCAGGCGGGTAGATATAATTAAGTTGGGCTTATCACTAGTACTTACAAGGATTTCCAATTGGCAGCAGTTCAGATTACACTAAGAAAACATTAGTTCAAATAATAAAAAAAAAAAGCCGGTAGGTGTACACAAAAAACACCGCCCCCTCCCCCCCGCCTTCCTCCTTAGCTTAAGGTATGGATCCGTCACTACTCGATGCTGGATCTAGAATTTCTACTCTCAATTTAAAATGGACCCTAATCTGAAGACTCGATAGCGCATCATAGTTTTGGATTTGTTTTTATTTATTACATAGGAATGGCGTCATGCACATGGTATGAGATGTCTTGGAATCCCGAATACAGCGCATTTTGCCAACGTCACTCTGATAGAGGATGCTGTAGCATGTAATGAACAATTCCTTCTTTCGTTTTTATTGATTATTGATAATTACTTGTAGGGTACTCATGACGTTTGTTATGATGAGTCCATCGTAGTTTACATCGTTGGAGCCGTGTGTTCGCGAGTGAATGGGGGAGGAAACTATTACATAGGAATGCAAACATGCGAGCGACTAAGGCCCTGTTTACAAGCAGGTAGGGTAACCCTAGTGCTAGGGTTACCCTGGCAGGAGGTTACCCTAACGCTCCCACATTTCTTCTTTTTTTTTAATCGACGTGTTTACAAGGCAGCTAGGGTTACCCTAGCACTAGGATAACCTTAGCTGAGCGCTAGGGT